CGCAGAATCTCGGTTACAATTGAAGGTCGAGAGTTGCTGATTGGACAAGTTTAATTATTTTTAGCTTATATGCAAGAATCAAGGATCAAAACACGATTCTGTGACCAGCGCGTCAAACACACCACTTCAATTTCGGGCTCATCCGTAAAAACACGTGTGTGTGCGTGGAAATTAACGCTACATACCTGTTTTTAAACTGAGCCAGAAATTGTCCTTCCCAATGGATCACTAGACAAGGTACGAATTTAAGCATTCTGATGCATGTTTCTTAGCCAGAATTTTAGTAGAACACGATTCGCGCAACAAAAATTACTGAAACCAACTTCTAACGGAGATACTAACATTTTTATTTCACATTGGTTACGAAGAATTTGAACTACCCACTCACAAGAAACTCAAAGCTCTACGTGAGTCAAATCGCGCACTACAACGGTTTCAGCAAGCTTCTCGATCGAGCAATGTTCATTTCCCACCACGTGTTTTTCAAACTATAAGTAATTTGCTAAAGCTGAGCCGAAGCGTCATGATAGAGGTTGCCAGATTTTTTTAGCGCAGAGACGTTCATGATAACGTTTAGCGCGCGATGTGAATCACGTAGAGTATTGAGTTTTCATGAGCGGGTGGTTTCAATTAACGCACCAAGAATCATTAAATATCTTTGGACGGAGTTGATTTCGGTGATTTTCGTTGTGCGCACCGTGTTTTACGTAAAATTTTGGTGAAGAATCATGTATCAGAATGCTGAAATTCGTACCTTGTCCAGTGGTCCATTGGAAAATGTAGTCTTAAAAGTCTTGTGTGCTGCAGTGGCAGCGCTAGTGGTCAGCGGCGGCTCGTCGGCCCCCCTCTCTCGGCTGAGCTTTGAGAAGGGCGACTTGCTGAAGACGAGTAGGCTGGGGTTCCGGGTCTGGAGGCACTTCAATTTGCCGCCGCATCATTACTATTACGCCCTCTCGGACCACGAGATCTTCTCGACGACCGTGGAGCCCCAGACAGAGTATTATTCGGACGAGGTAACCAAAAAGGTCAAGCTCCGATCCGTCTTGTACACCCTTGACGTGAAAACCCCTCGAAAGGAATTCGACTCCATCCTCATGACGAAAGCCCGGGTCCGGGGGACCACCATCGGGGACACGGGCATCGCCCTGGCGCGCAGGATGAGCCAGATGGTCCTTTTCTACCACACCACGCGCTGCAACAACTACCACTACATTGATTACGTCGTCCACGGCAAGACTTTCGGCAGGTCAGAATATACCTACAACACACGGAAAAAAAAGAATTGCTGATTCAGCACTTCAATTGCTAAAAACAGTGAGTGCAATGTTTCAACGCAGATTTTACAACAAAAAAATGCTACTTTAACCACCCCCGTGGTTATATTAGTTTACAATGTGGTTAAAGTAGCATTTTTTTGTTGTAAACTCTGCGTTGAAACATTGCACTCACTGTTTTTAGCAATTGAATTGCTGAATCAGCAATTCTTTTTTTTTCCGTGCAGATATTTACAGATATTTTTTTTCTCTACAGTAATATTCAGTAGATGAATAAAATGGTATACTAACATTTGTCTTAGATTTTGTTTATTAAGATTTTGGCTTTTTGCTTGCCAACACGAAACGAAATGAACGTATCCCTCGTGAACTAGACAGGTGCGAAAGAAGGGTTGCGCTCGTTATATTCAAGGGCCATAAGAATGAATGGGAATGAAGATGCACCGAGATGTAGCCATAAAGACGTACCGTCCGTTCTGAGCTCAGAGGCCGAAAGTTCCGGGCGCAGCACCTCATACTTTCGACCTCTGAGCCCGAAACGGACGGTATGTCTTCGGCCCATAACTTTCTTTTTCAGTGCGTTTACCAGAAATACCGCCATTTTACTTAATAATATTCAAATAAAAAAAGCTTACTAGAATAAGCGTTATGAAATGCGGCCTTAGACCCCTCTACCCCCATTATGCCCCCCGGCCTCTGAGCCGGAAACGGACGTTATGTCTTTGGCCCGTGCCTTTTTTTTGAGTGCGTTTACCAGAAATACGTCCATTTAACATATTAAAATTCGAATAAAACAACTTAATAAAATAAGCGTTATGGAATGCGGCCTAGGACCCCTCTATTCCACTATGTCTCCCTAACTTGATGAATGGTCTCTTATGGTGCATATTCAGTTTATGGCCTGGTTACACGCTCGTTCCGTCAAATTCCGATCAAAATGATGACCAAGATGGCGGTCGAGAGTTATCTAGATTGATGAGTAAAATTAATTAAAACACACGGAAAAAACGAGTTTAGGATGGGGCCCTAACTAGAGGTAGGGCAGTGAGAGGTAGCTCACGTCCCTACAGATTACAGGCACGAGACCTCCATGAGCTAGTTGCGAACGCTGCCACCGACTGGGTTTTGATATTTTAGTTACTGCGCATGCGCACGAGTAGCGAATAACGTCATTTCTCGCTGAACGCCAGTTGAGGACTGACATAGAGAAAAAAAAGGAGGTGTTTGCATTTCGGGCATCTTGGAATTTTTTGATGACTTGATGACGTAGGTGGGTACAGTGTGAAGGGGACGTCCCTGTACCCAGCTGTACCCACCTACGTCATCAAGTCATCAAAATACTCCAAGATGCCCGAAATGCAAACACCTCCTTTTTTTTCTCTATGGAGGACTGATGCCCGTATGATCAGGTGTCATTGATATGCCGAGAGGGGGAATTGCACTCGAGAGGCGTAAATTCGCCGCCATAATCATCGAGGCCTCGTAGCCTCAAGTTAGGTTTGAAGTGGCTAAGAGATTTCCTGCAAAAGAGAGATCAGCACACAAGCTTACACATTTCTCTTTAAGATACCAAATCCTTGATTTTTTAATTATGTATTGGTAACATCCATGATCTTGAAGTTCCGTTAACTGTATTACCAACTAAATCGTCGGTTATATTCATACTAAAAGTATAGTTTAATAAGTTCATTTTTTTAACTTTTTTAAATTTTATTTATGTTTAATGGATGGGAATGGATGACCCTGTAATGGTTTAACCTTCTTTATTCGTACAGGTGGTGGAAGCCGCTATACTGGCCGAAGCACCCCGAGTGCCCGGTCCACCTCGTCATCGAGCCTGACACGAATGTTGCCGATCCGACTAAGCCTGGATATGTCACATCGTTGAGGAAGAAGAAGGGAGAAGAAATG